GAGTAAAAATTCGCGACAGATGGTCCAGAAAAGCCAAGTGTCCATGGTATTGCTGGATTGCTTGTTCGTCCAACATCATCTAGCACGCTTCCATTTGGTGTACCGAGTAACGCGGTTGTACTTGAAAGTTTTTGTAATTTAGCCAGTTCAATTGGCACTCCTTCATTTTTTTCTGGAAGCAAGCAAATTAAACAAATTAATGCTATTTGTAATTTAAGACGGACAGGAAACTGATTAATATGATATTAGTAATCACATCGACAGTAAGACATCAATAGACAAAAAATCCACATAATAAACAAACTTTGTATAATAATGCCTGGTCGTCCAGGAGCACCTGGTGATTCTTGGAAACCAGGAAGTCCTGGTAGTCCAATAGGACCGGATGGGCCGGGTGGACCTGGATGGTAGAGTGAATATCCACGAGGACCTTTCGGTCCAGGAAGACCAGGTAGACCCTTTAGACCTGGTTCGCCAACTTCACCTGATGGACCTGGAGGACACGTCATACATACATTTTCATAGCGAATGTCAGACTTGAAATCTCCAGGGATTCCATTTTTGCCCGGTGCACCATGAGTACCTAAATAGTATGGTGAAAAATTGAATAGAATAATTATTCATTCTTATTTTCTACTTAGGAAGTATTTAAATTTTATAAAAGCCTTTTAAATAACTTTTGCCTGGTTTCCCATCTATTCCAGGAGTTCCCGGAGGACCGATAGGGCCAATATTACAATTACAGCACCTTTCTTCTTGCGCATTACCACTTGAATATTTTTGATTTGCTAAAATGAATTAGAAAGGTTAATAATGCAAGCACGACAAGACAAATTGGTAGTTAATAATTAAAAAAATTGGAGGGAACTTCCATCAGTCTAAGACATGCATTCAACTTGCAATTTAGCGCATTTAATATATGCTTGTCGAAGTAAATTTTTTCCATTGGAACATGAAATTATTCAAAATTGAGAAAATAAGGTGGAAGGATCTTTGACTTACCCTGCCTTGGGTGCGAAAAAGGAAATAAGATCGGAGCCCATCCAAAAGTGTTGTAATGTGCGATACGATACGGAAAACGCTCTTGGTAACGAATACTGGGGTCACTGTTATGAGACAACGATGATCCGTAATGATACAGAACTTGCCGTTCTTTTCGATTTTTAACACTACCTTTTTCACGAATCTAAAATCAAATTTATCAAGGATTCTATAACTTCTTCATATAGATTATTATCATTTAGCAGAAGTACGACTAAAGCCCTTACGAAACTATCTCTAATAAGTTTCACTATCTCAACAAATTAATGAATATCTTGACAAACAATATGTGAATGCTTGACGGCCGAAACTATAAGTCCTTTACAGTTACACTTTGGGAATACGGTCATCCAAGTATCGTACTGCAGTGAAACACCAAAATTCAAATAAGCAGTCAGCAAACAAAAATTAAATGTTATGAAAGATCTAAAGACTAAAAATTGGCGATCTTGTGCAACCTGAATCAATTGGGACCATAATGATAGCGACTGGTCGAAGCAATAGCCAATTTCCGGTTCCAAAACCGATAGGGTATATTGTATATAATAATAAAGCACTGGTATCGCAAGTGTTGTAGTAATGACAGAAAATAGCGCCAAAATTACTCCAAAAAATGCTAAAATCCGAAACGATTTTGCCAAAACACGCAAATCAGTCAGTGAAACTGCTTCTACAACCGTCATTTTATGTCCCTTCAAGAGCATTTCATTCTCCTCGCTATTATAGCCCCAATTTTCCGTTGTTACGGATTCTGTTGATGACATTAGATGTAGAATCAGTCTGGAAATGTGTAGAAGCAAGAAGATATGAAAGGAAATCTAAGTGCTTTTAATACTCTTTTTTGGTACTCAATAACACCAAACCATTTGAAATATACTGCTCTACACCTAATAGAAACATGTAACGAAGTGGAGTCAGCATAAATTTGAATTCAGTTGACGACGAAGGCCGGCTTATTCTTCTTTGTTTCATTTTCATAGAAAATGTTAGCGGAACAATTATCAGTTAGTTTTACGATGGGATTATCTACTATGATCTGATGATCATCAAAAATCGAATGATAACCGACTTTTGACTACTTTAATATTTCCCAAAATGATAGGGAAATATGTAGATATAATTAATCACTGTTTAAGTTCATAGTAAATCGAATTAAAATTAAGTAATCAATGTCGTAGACAGTTTTAAAATCACAGGAAAAAAAAGATTGTCGAAAAGAATAAACATATAAACAAAAACTATTCCGAATAATCATCAAGGCTTCCTGTTTATTTTGTAAAGTTGAAAACGTGAAAAAAATGTGGATATAATAGGTGGCTATGTCCCTAAGACTTGTAAATCCCCAGAGCACCTTATCAAAGCAGCTGTGCATACGTCGCTTTTTCCATTGAAAGCATGCATTGTTTCTTTTTATGGGACATATGAATCCGCACAGACTTCTTGGGATATTCAGGAAGATAGCCGATTCCTAATTAGCATTTCCTCAAAGTAAATAAGTCACTGTCTTAGAAGCCAGAAAAAAAGTATGACAAATAAAATTTGAATAATATCCCTACGTCAAAAGTTACGAAGAAACCTTTGGTTAATGAGGTTTCTTTGTAACTTTTGACACTCCTACAAATGTCAGTTATTGATAGTTATCCTCAAGAGGTAGTCGTCAAAAATTAGGAACCAGAGGGGTGAAATCTTCAGCGCTGGAGAAAACAAATGCTGAGACAAGGATCACTCAATATTATAGCAGCTGTAATTTAGACATTAACAGTAACAGGTTTAGATAACCTATTAAAGCTATTAATCCAAACTTGATGTTCTCAACTACTTATGTACCTTATTATATTAGTCAGAAAATCCACCAGCAAGAACTATTGAAACAGAAAATCCACTAGCAGGAACCGTTGAGAGAGACATTTGTAAAGCATTTAGTAGATTGTCATTCTATTCTTTACAATTGTTCAATCTGATCTAGGAGATGTACAGAATTTCAAGTGCTCGACACACCGTAAAAGCACTTATTTAAATATCACTATATTATTGCCCACTTTCACCACAATTGTAAAACATGCAGATGAGGATAGGTACCATGATCTCAACAACACTACTTCCCACAAAACTAGAATCATTTCTCGTCACAACTTCAGATTTTACTCTTATCAAACTTTTGCTCCTATAAACACCAAAACTACGTTGCATCAAATAAAGATAGTCAAAAGTATAGGAATTCCAAGAACGAACTGTTTTAGAATTAGACAGGATAGTGACTTATGGCAGAGCGAAATTTGCTCGTAAAAGTTCTTTTGCTTGTAAAAATAAATTACTGTCTTTTAGTTGACTTCATCAGCTTTACACAGAAGTTGAAACTGAAGTCCTAATATCGTATAAAATGAACCTTCTGCACAATGCCTCATGCTTTGATTGAGACAGAAAGTTGAGAAATTGGTTGGACCAGTTTAGATCTCTCCATTAATTCCTATCTTCATTATCTCATCCCATGTACAAAAGCATTCGAAATGAAATCTACTTTGTTTATTTGTATACTTTCCAATTGCAAATTCGGAATTTTCGGTTACCAGTTTTTCAATACTTTTCATTGGTAATTGTTCGTGAGAAAAGCTATCGTTGAAAGAAAAAGAATAAGGATGAAGAATGAAAATTTGGTCTATGCATTCGCTATTACGATAAGAAAAAAGTGATGTAAATAGCATAAATCCTATACTTCTGCCTTGGATGAGAGAACTTTCCAAAATCTGCTGATCTGAAACTTTCCCAATGAGCTTCATTTTAAATACTAATGGCTATTCAAAGAACAAAAGAAGCCTTCTCGTATTTTTGAAGCTTTTCAATATATCACGCCATTTTATTCACTCATCTTGGTTATAATTTCAGCAGTGATCTGCTGGATGAGCCCTCATTCCTAATTGTGGGCATAAAAAACTTCCTATTGCTAGAAGCATGTTTCAAAGCATAAACGTATAGTAAAAAATGACACTTTAAATACCATATAAATATTCTAACCTATTACATACAATTACAGCTCGCTATCCATTTTTTGATATGAATGACAAAATTATGCAAAACACAGCGATACAAATGAAGAAAAACATCACGAATCGCAAAAAACAAAGTTCACAAAGTTACAAAGTTCACAAAATTCACAAAGTTCATCTACAAGTCTTCTCTTGAAAACGCAAAACGTCCTGTATATGAAACTATGCATTTGTTTTATTCGTTTCCTTCACTTGCTCAAGCTTTTCTACAACACTTTCCCATTCCAGAACCTGATAATGAAGCTGCTCCAAAAGTATCACAAATTTTTCTTTGAGATCCACTACACTGCTATGATGCCTGATAAAATTCAGAATAAAAAAAATGCGGAAAACATGAATAGCAGCAAATAAACTATCATCTATTATCTTTATGATGTTAAGTCAAGCCTCGCAGAATTTTATTTTTATCCAAGTGAAAACAATTTTATCCAAGTGAAAACAGTTTACCAGATGTGGGTGTAAAATAGATAAAATTAGAAGAAAGTGGAAATGAGTTTTTTTACTACAAAACCGGATTAATTTAAACTGGAATTATGTTTATACTAGCAAATTATTATTAAAATGAAGAAATATTTAAATTACAAACTTTTGCACATCTAAAGCTGACTCATTGATTTCCTTTTCGGCAGCATCGAGTGCTGGTAGATGATGGCTTACATTTGCAATTGATTCAGATTTGAACACAACCTGTAAGGAAACAGTAAAGATTGCACAAAATGATTAAAGTCAAATTAGACAGATCATCAGTAATTCCTATTCATTTTGGAGAATAGTAATCAGATTTTCACGCTATGAAGTGGTAAATTTGTTTCCTTTTGTCATAAAAACAGGAGAAAAGGTGTTAAAATTCCTCAATAAATTTTTGTATTTTTTTTCAATGAGTTTTTAGCAACATCCTGCATCCATGGGATCAAGGACCTGCTTCCTAACCCCTAGTTTTGGAATTTATTGACTGGGATCTCCAGGTAGTAGAAGCAGTGTACCAAGAGTTTAAAATATCGAGATAACCTCGGAATCTTTCTGAAACTCCTCCAGCAGTCTAACCCGTTCGAACATTAAATCATAACCAAACTCTATTTCTCTTTTCTTTTCCGCTGGGGTCAAATAATCACTCTGAAAGTTTGAATACCTTTTGAATAAAGTTTGAATATTTCGAATAACACATTGATTTTCCAGTAAGCAAATTGGATTTTTAAATTATCTTTATACCGATAATAATGTATGACGAGTTGTATACTGTTGGCATATCATTCAGATATCAAATGATGATTAAAGGAGTGAGATATTAAAAGTTCTCCGAGATCGGAAGATCAAGTGAGAACGAGTAACCGATACAATATCTTTTCTGGTGGGGCATCTTGGTAAACAGTAAGATAATCAGATATTTAAAAATAAAAAATGAAAGCAAAGGGAAAAACTAACACCAGTAGCCAGATCAGTGATTTTTTTCATTACATCAGTTGGAATTTTCAGCAGGAAGCCACAACCAGCTTCAGATAACTTCTTTCGCAGAAGAGTTAATTCCTCACTTACATTTATAACGTTCCCTGCTTTGTGCAGACCTAATCGACCTTCCAATTTCACTAACCGGTTTTCCAACATATCCTCCATTACCTGATATGCAAAACAACTGAAAATTTTGGGAGATAACACTATCACCGACGACCCTCAAAGCTTTGATTCAATTAATGTGAGCACTGACGCTGCTTCAAAGAAAAATATTTAAATTGAAAATATTTGACTAAATTCGAATGGACTATTTTCTACTAAATATCCCAAATGCCATAAATCTACTCTGCATGTTACGGTGCATTATAAAAGAATGAAGCTCATAAGTCCACAAATGACATTTTTCAATTAAAATATTTAATCACTAGATATTATTGGACAATGTCCTTTATGAGATTACTTTTACATGAATGTATTGAAATTTCTTCCCAAAATATGATTTTATACAGATCAGCTACAAAACTTGCAAAAGAAGAATATCACTATTTTATATGCCTAGACAGCAAAAATATTCATCTGGTCGGATTCATCCACTCGTGCAACATAATGATACCTTAATACAATTAATTACTCAAATGCTATAGCACTATTTAATTTACAATCCAGTGTAGCCCAAAACCTAAAATTTCACTGCAGATAAATGTACACAATTATGCAAAAGAGAAAAAAACAGTGAACGACCGATAAAAGGACTAAAAGAGGCCTCTGAAAGTTGGATAGGTTGGTCATTCTAATATCGAGAAAAAAGTTAATTGAGCCAACAAAAGATTAGAAAAATCAAAAACAGAATGTCGCATTCACCGATTAGTTTATCGTTTAGCAATTCTTCTATGCCTTTAATAAAGTCTTAGTATTAAGAGGTTTAATACAGAAAACATGTATTTACAAACAACAAAAAAGGGAAAAAATTGAGTATACCAGGTTCGGCACTAATGCAATCCTTTAACAAATCTACTTGTAAATACCTGAAAATACTCCTACAAAATAAACTAAGACGGTCACGTAAAAGTACGTGGAAAGAAAGAAGATTAAAAAAAGAGACGGAAATGAAAAGATTTAGAAGGAACAATACATTCCTACCGTTTGTTTTTCCGCTTCATAACATGAAAAACATAATAAAAACATAATGAAAAACATAAAAACATAATATGACATAAAATTCAAATTCATTAATCATTCAAATGAAATACTGCCATTAAACATATCATGAAGAAGAGAAAAAATCACCGACTGTTCAAAATTAAACTTTCTGAAGAAATACGACGGCAAAGACTCAGTATATGGTCGTACAACTAACTTCCATATATTATTATAAAATTTCAAAAACCTTTCCTTAATTGCAGGAATGGAACTCTTTGTACAAGAAATATGTGCAATGATAATTAATTCGAAAACTGAAGCAATATTCCAACAGCGACTACTGCGAGAACCAGGGACTGCGCTAAAAATCTTAAACAGTCGCCAAAGACACCGAAGTTCTGCCAAAGTCCATAGTACATTTCTATTACGTTCGTTGGTCTGAAGTTTGAAAAAAACAATTTTCAAAGAGATTCTGAAAAATTTCTCAGCATTAATTTCCTAATTTTAGAAAGGAAGAAAAGGTGAGAATAAAGCAATGGATCAATTAAATAATCTGCAAGTCTTTCTATAAAAATCGAATATGCGGCCAAATTAAGAGGAAACAGTAACGAGGGTAAAATTGTAATTACTAGATTACCAGTAATTGTAATTACTAGATTACAAATGGAATGTATATGATAATGTATATACAACAAAATAACTTGCTTTTTCCTGTTTCTGCATTGACAGTGGGCAAAAAGCCCATCGAAACTTGACTGTTCCGTGCAACCAGATTTATTGTCATCCAGTGAAATATTATATGATTGTCGTCGTTCTGGAACTTTTAAAACTTTGTATGCTGTAGTCAGTTCGACGAATGCATCATTGCGTCGTTTCACCTCTTGATCATTTGAGCAATTCTTCCTGTCTGGATGTAACTAAACCTTGGTTCTTTTTCTTCACTCATTAAGTTCCGAAAACAGCATGAAATCATGCAATTTGATCATTTGTATTTAGATTTAAATATTAATATTATTTAACATGTTATTACTAATACTGAAAATTTTCCCCTTATTCCTATTTCGATCTTCAACCTTTGTATTTCTAATACTTTCACTAGTGCTATTTTCTGCTGACATTATTTAGCAAGTGTTATTAATAGTGGTCAGTTGACTTGTGATATTAGAATTTAATCATATGAATCCCTTCATTTTATAATTAAAAGT